CAGAGCAGCTAATCAATCAAATACTTCAACGATCAAGCTCCGCTTAACTAAGACGAAAGCTAGATGGAAAGTGGTATTTACTTGAGACAAATAAAAGTTTACTTCCCTTCACCATACTTGGCCAGGGAAGGCCTGGAGGAGCATTATGCCAGCCTCATTTTTTCTGCATAGGACATGGATTATACAGGAATTTTATGCTGTGCACATGCTTTGATTGTTCCGTTTCTTACCTTTTCTTTTTCTTTTTACTTTGGTTTAAGTGTGATTGTAATAGATGGTGGAAAATAATGATTGTACTTTTGTTTTCCCTACAAAATATTGAAGGTGTTTGTATTGGTTCTGGTCAAATAAGCTCTTTTAGTTTTTTTTCTTTTTTTTTTCTTTTTTAGTGTTTGGCAATATTCTAAAATTTGCTTTTAAGTTATTTTGGTTGAGCAATCATTTTACATTTGTATCCCTCATAACTTTTCGTAATCCCAACATTACCCCCAATTATTTAAAGTCAATGGTAATATGCTCATAAGACCACTAAAGCGATCGATGGACAAAATAATAACAACTAACTTCCCAAAATAATAATTATCCCATTATCTTATGTCTATAAATTATCCAAACCAGCTTTCTTTATTTTGAATATAAAGTACCAATACTCATACTAATCACGTAATAATGAGGCGACGGTTATATATGAATTACTCACTTTAAAACCGTATTTTGTCTTATGTCTATAAATTATCCAAACCAACTTTCTTTATTTTGAATATAAAGTACCAATACTCATACTAATCACGTAATAATGAGGCGACTGTTATATATGAATTACTCACTTTCAAACCGTATTTTTATTTTTAAATAGTTTAATTCCTCCATTACTAGTATATTATTGTTATTGCACTTCATATCCTACATAAAATAACACATAGATTCTATATAATTAAATAAATGGATTATTTAATATTTCCAACAAAATGCTGCATTTAGTTATATAGCGATTCTTTTTTTCTTATGCAACCTAAACTATCAACACGACATGCGAACTTAGTATAATACTACTCCTGTATTTATTTTACAAAATTTTTGTATAGGATAAAATCAGTTCATATTAAATGCTCGAATGATAGAGTGACACATGGACTGGGTGAGGGGTGGGGGTGGGGACAGACAAAAGATAAGTGAGTAAAAACCAAGACCTGGGTGGGGGGTGGGGGTGGGGACAGACGAAAGATAAGTGAGTAAAAACCAAGACTGAGGATAACAGCTTCGGTTGGCACCAGGTAAATGAGAACATTATCGACGGGAGAAAACGAATACTTGTCACCAGATGACATTCAATGAAGAATATTCCCCAATATTAAATACGCAGCCGTTACAAAAATTTTGGCATTCACGACCTGCCGTTACATATTCATCAATAGCCCCCCATTATTGTCATTTAAGAAGCTTGATCCTGGGACCTGGTTCCCTAGGTATAGCTATAAATAGTGGCTTCAACAACCACTACAACCACTATAAGACACAAAAAATCTCTGACAAACTTATGTTACATACTATTCCAAGCTAAATACTACCTTATTTTCTGTCTAATACTATTCTTATTGCTTCCTTCAGAAGCCTTGCTCCCCGAACCAAGCTATATGCTATTTTATCTCGATTTTAATGGTAAGTATTGTATTTTATTGAATTCATTTATCGTTTTTGGGATCAAATTGATTCGCTTGTCTATAAACTACGCCATAAATTCAATTGTACTATTTTACGGGTAAATAATTTGATGCCCACCATGGGAAAATTCCGTAATTGAGTTGATCCTTGCATTTATTACTAATGTGTTTGATTCTTTGTTTCATAGCAAAAATTAAAAAAAAATGATAGCTAATGATGTCAACATTACACACAACGTTGAGGCGCAGGAGAATCTGCCTCAACATGAGAGTTTGATCAGTGACACCCGCAACGAGGAGGACGTCGCAACTCCGGTCCATGGAGGACATTATCCCCGACATGTGCGGGAGACAACTTTTGATGACGAGAACGTCGTGGAAACACTAAGGATCTTGAAGGAGCAACAAAGGCCATCTCTCAAGGCAAGACCAGACCATGATTAAACTGAAGCAGGCACTGTTAGGTGCCTCTAACAATGCGAATAGAAGAGGCCATGTTCCTCCCGGTGCTCCCGCAAATCAAACAACTTAAATTCTGGGCGCACGACCAGTATTGAAGGGCCCAGACTCGAAGAAGCACACACAATTGCTATTCAAATTGATTCCGTAGTGGTTCAAAATGTCGGACATACCAAAGTATGATGGGACTTTGAACCTTCAAGAGCACATCACAACTCATACAATGACGATGAAAGGAAACGAATTGGCTCAACATGAAATTGAGTCTATCCCGTTGAAGAAATTCGGAGAAACCCTCACGAGGGGGCCTTGAAATGGTATTCGCTCCTACCTGAGCACTCGATCGATTCCTTTGAAATGCTCGTGCATTCTTTCATCAAGGCCTATACCGGCGCCAGGAAGGTCCAGGTCCGGAAGACGGACATATTTAGAATTTCGCAAGGAGAGTTCGAATTGCTGCGCGAGTTCGTGATCAGGTTCCAGAAAAAGGATGATGTTATCGATCTTGCTAGATGAATGAACAGCTGAGGCATTTACTAAGGGGTTGAACCCGAGGAGTTGCGACGCTTCCTGGAAGCTGAAAGAAAGCTTGCTCGAGTTCCAAGCAACCACATGGGCAGATGTCCATAAAAGCTATGAATCAAAGATAAGGATAGAAGATGATCAGCTCAGGTTCCCGGTAACAACCAAAGGTCGGGATCGAGAAAAAAATAGGAGATAAATCAAAAGAAGATTTTAATGTAAGTTGGCGGTCTTCTAAGAGCGTTTTTTGCCCTACGAGAAGGCTAAAGGACGCAATAGCAAGGGACTTAGGTTGGTGGATTAGTTCGCCTTCGATAGAAAGGTTGACCGTGGTAATTTCGTTCTAGATTTTAAAATTAAACTTATTTTGGTGGACCCAAGAAGTTAAACCAACATCATTCAATGGAGAGTATTGGAACAAGCCAGGCTAACCAGAAGCATCATTCCAGCAAGAAAACTCCTCATCGGATTCAACTTAGTAAGTTTAACAACCTGGAAGGAGATCTTGATGCCGCCGAATGCCGAAGGGTTCATGAAAACTACCTTATTTGAAGTAGTGGATGATGACATGTGCTACAACATAATTCTCGGTAGACCATGGCTACATGAGATGAAAGTCGTGCCATCAACATACACCAAATGCTGAAATTTCCGACCTAGAGGGAATCAAACAAATAAGAGGGGATCAACCGGCGGCAAGGTAAATGAACGCGGTATCAGTCTCCAGCAGTAAAGGGAAGGAACTCAACGCATAGTAATTACAGGAACCGATGCCTGCTCTCGAGCCAATTGAAGATGGCAAAGGAGAGGAGTCGTCGGAACCCCACCAGGTACCAAGATATTTTTAGGCATCGAAAGAGACAGATGCAACTAAATCCACAACGGAAGAACTCGAACAAGTGGCCTTGTTCAAAAAATTCCCGGAGAGAAAATTCCACATTGGGGACAGGCCTTAACTCCGAGCTCATATAAAGATTTATTGATTTTCTTAAAATTAATGTTGATTGTTTCGTATGGTCGCACACAGATATGACCGGTATCCTGGTGGAGGTGGCCATGCTTAAGCTAAGCCTGGACCTAAGTATCCCATCGGTAAGGTAGAAAAACGCTCGATAGCCAAGGTCAGAAATAAGTTTATCAAAGAAGAGGTAACTTGATTACTTGACATCGGTTCAATCTGGTAGGTAAAATATCCCGACTGGCTAGCTAATGTAGTTATTATTTCGAAAAAAAATAATAAATTCTGAATTATAAGGACTTGAATAAGATATGCCCGAAAGACTCATTCCCACTGCCAAACATTGATCAAATGATCGATGCCATGGCCGGGCATGAGTTAATGAGTTTCCTTGATGCCTATTTCAGGTACAATTAAATTAAGATGAACCTGGAGGATTAGGAAAAACTTCGTTCAACACAAACTTTGGCATATATTGTTATAATGTTATGTCCTTAGGGGGTCAAAAACGCGAAGCCACTTATTAGAGACTCGTGAACAAGATGTTCGAAAAACAAATATGTAAAACAAAGGAAGTGTACATAGATGATATGCTAGCCAAGTCTTTGAATGCAAGTGACCGTTTAAAATATCTCTAGGAAATAGTCGACATCCTAATGAAGCACAACATGAAGCTCAACCCCGAAAAATGTGCGTTCAGAGTTAGCTCCGGTAAATTCTTGGGTTTCTTGGTGTCACAAAGAGGGATCAAAGTCAATCCTGATAAGATCAAAGCCATTGAGGACATCCCAGACCAGCTGACAAGCGTAAAAGAAGTCCAAAGGCTAACTGGAAGATTGATCTCTCTGAGCAGGTTCATTTCCCGATCTTCAGAAAAATGTCATCACTTCTTCTCACTTCTAAAGAAGAAGAACAACTTCGAATAGAATCCAGATGCCAACAGTCTCTAAAAGGCCTGAAACGGTATCTATCGAGCCCTACGCTACTATCAAAATTGGAGGAAGGCGAGCATTTGCTAATATACTTAGCGGTCTCGGAGGTAGCGGTAAGTGTTGTTCTAGTCCGGGAGGATGAAGGTACACAATCTCCTATATATTATATTAGCAAAATCTTTATGGGGCAGAAACTTGTAATTCACACCTCGAAAAAGTGGCCTTACCTCTCGTGGTCGCCTCTCAAAAGCTTAAATCTTATTTTCAATGCCACCTTATAGTCGTGGTGACTATCACACCTCCTTTATCTGTCACGACCCTAAACCTGAACCCGATCATGATGGCGCCTCTTGTGAAGACAAGGCCAACCGACACAACACCCAATTCTTTTTAAGCAATTAAAATAATAACTGCTAAGTCTTTAAGCAGGAATAAAATCCCCAAATAAGCAGTAAAACAGTGCAATTTGCGGAAATAAAATCAACACAGCCCGACATCGATGTGTCACCAATCACGAGCATCTAAAACAATACTACAAATATGAAAGTCTACTCCACTACTAAATAACTGAATCAAAAAGGAAATAAGATAGAGGGAGGTTGCACTGGGCTGCGAATCGCCAAGCAACTACTTAGTAAACCTCCGAAGATCTGCTGGAACTATCCACCCTCAATAGCAGGACCTGTAGCGCCCGAATTTGCACACAGAGGTACAAGGAGTAAAGTGAGTACTTCCAACCCAGTGAGTAATAAGAATAAATGAAGACGGAATGATATAAAATTATGTTAAACACAACATTTAGCTATCAGAGGCATAACAAAATCAGTAACACAATTTAACAATGAAATCTCATAAAAACACCTTTTTAAGCAGTCAACAATAGATAGGAAACATAACTAGGAATGATAAACACATAAGAACTGCCCCTCGGGCACAATAATATCAAATCAGCCCCTCAGGCAATATCATAGAACAATACCAGCCCCTCGGGCTATATCTCATGTCACAATGGGTACTCGCGCTCACTTGGTATGTGCAGACTCCTGGAGGGGCCCCTTACGGCCCAAGCACAATATCAAGCCATCTCGTGGCATCATAAACAGGCTCTCGGCCTCATATCAATATCAAGCCACCTCGTGGCGTACAATCTCGGGCCCTCGACCTCATTATCATAATCAGTATATCATTGTTGCGGCATGTAACCCGACTTAAAAGTATCCTCACAATACATGCCCTCGGCCTTACTCAGTCAGAATCTCATAAGCCCCTCGGGCATCAGTAAAATATGAAGCTCAGCTCAAAATATCTTTAAAATATCATTTAAGGTGCTTAAACCAATTAACATGGCTGAGTTTTGAAAACAATAAAATAGGGTATGACTAAGCATAAGTATAAAATCAAATAGTGAGGAAAATATCATTAACAATCCCTTAAGGTTTCAAACAGTTGGCACGAAGCCCAAATATGATATTTAGCCCAAAGTATAATAATATCAAACAATTAGCTACCAAATATACAGAAAAATAGTCATTCGGGATGGACTAAGTCGCAATCCCCAACGGTGCACGACCCCACGCTTGTCATCTAGCGTGTGTGTCACCTCAACACAGCCGAACGTTATGTAATCCGGGGTTTCATACTCTCAGAACAACATTTAAAATCATTACTCACCTCGAACTAGCCCAAAAAGCTACTCTGCAACACGTTTGCCTCTCGAACCAACTTCCGAGTGCTCCAAATCTACCAAGTTCAGATTTTTATCATCAAATTATGCTAAACGAATGAATTCCAATTGAAAAATATCGATTTTAAGCACAAAACTCGAAATCAGTGAAAACCCGACCCCCAGGACCGCATCCCGGAACTAGACAAATTTTATACCAAAATGTTCTTCATCATCTCACGAGTCCGTACATATAAAGAACTCGAAATTGGAGTTCGTTTGGCCCCTCAAATCATCCCTAGAAGGTATCATAATCTCAAGCCCTAACTCCACCTTTTTCTATTGATTTTCATGAATTAAACACTGATATTTTGTTTCTTAATCACAAATAATCGAGTTTTAGGGTCCAAAATCCTTACCTCAATGAAGAACAATGATTTCCTCTCTTCAAAATCGCCTCAAAGCTCTTTTCCCGTTCAAAAATGGTGTAAAAGGGTTTAATGGTCACGGAGGGTTTATTTAAATACTGTTTATGCATTTTGCTATTCACCCGAGTACTATTCACCCGAGTTACTATTCACCTGAGTTACTGTTCATGCTGCTGTGAAAAAATACAACAACTTTTCTTCTAGTCTAAATTGATCCGTTAACCTTTCGAGATCCACCCGAGGCCCTCGAAAATCTCAACAAATATACAAACATGTCCCATAACATCATTCAAACTTATTCGAGCCTTTGAAACACCCAAAACAACATCAAAACACCAAAATCATATCAAATTCAAGCTTATGAACTTGAAATTCCTAAATTCCACCAACGATGCCGAAACTATCCAAAACAACCCCGATTGAGCTGAAATTTTGCAGACATATCCAAAATGACATTACGAACCTGTTCCAACTATCGGAATTCCATTCCGACCCCGATATCCTATTTTCCACTGCCGACCGAAAATCACCAAAAACTAACTTTCGCCAATTCAAGCCTAATTCTACACCGGACATGACAAAAATATTCCGGACACTCCTAAGTCCCAAATCACCTAATGAAGCTATCCGAGCCATAAAATCCACATTCCGAGGTTGTTTACCAATAATTCAACTCTCGGTTGACTTTTCTAACTCTAAAGCTACTTTTAGAGACTAAGTGTCTCAAACCTTACCAAACCCATTCCGGATTCGATCCGACCAACCCGATACCACATAACATGGATAAGCAAAGCATAAAGAAGAAGAAATGGGGAAAAACTGAGCGGTAACTCATGAGAAGACTGGTCGAGTCGTCACATCCTCCCTAAATTAAACAGACGTTCGTCCTCGAACTTGCCCAGAGTTGTTCCAAAAGCCAACCAGTCGCTGAATAACCTTACCATGCCCATACCCGGGGGTGATCCCATGTCACCCTATCTCATATAGGTCCGATAACACAATGCAACTGAAATTTCAGAATCCAACCTAGCCCATAAACCTTAGAACCACATTTCCACTTCCAAAATCATCCACAAGATCAAAATCTCATACATATACTCTGAATAAGCTTGAACAAGCTGTAATAACCCATACCTACAACCTCAGGTACAATTATGTGATATACCACATAACTCAATGCTTGTAGCGATAACTTCTAATCACAACAGCTGCATACAACGATCGAATACCGGTGGAAAACCCCTTATCAACTAAAGTCTCATTCCAACACTTTCACATACTGCCAATAACAAATGAAACACGCAGTAAGCCTTAACTATTTCTCAGATCAACCATTCATGAAGCCACTTCTCCTTTGGCAAAGACCATAGTAATTTCTGAGCCGAACCTCGACATTATCCTTCCAACGTGCTGAAACCGAATCCGTTTGTATACATCAAAGACCCGAATGATCTCATCTAATCTAACACGACTACTCTGGTGACATGACACATCAATACAGGCTAAAGCCGCAACTTGTGCAATCCGCACACCAATTAGCAAAAACCCGAATATACTCAAATTATGAAAATGACTCAATTGAAAGAGCTATACCGCAAGCTCACTAGTACCACATCACCATGCTGAGAACCCGTCACACCTCGTAAAAACATAACACACGAATTCAACCCGAAGGATCATACCTCCACATAACTTCGCTGCAATGCACGACCCTATCCAAACGCTGGTCCATGTGAAACACCTCAAGTCACTATGCTCAAAATCGACTGCCACACAATTTGATGTATAGAACCAAAGCAAATCATCATAACCACGGCGAAACAATTGACATAACATTACACAACTCGAAAGGACACAACCGATGCGCCATCCGCCAAACAATATTCAATACTCTTCCCGCTCGAATTCCACTGAGAGACCCCTAATAACACCGCATCACGTCTGCCTATAACCAATGAATCCCAATGCCTCGCGACACGGAAAGGTAACTCATAGATCTCCCCAGATTACTAATAAGCTCAATAACAATCGAATCAACCCATCCTTCAACAAACAACTCGGAGCCAACCAAGCCGACTCAAGTTAGAACACACATCCACATTGGCCTGCCAATGAACCCCTATATCAAGGAACCCTGAAACTGCTCCTTCAAATCCTTTAACTCTGCGGTGCCATACGATACGGTGCCCAACACCAAATCAATACCAAAATCAACAACTTTGCCCAACGACATGCCCGACAGCAGGAAACACATCCGAAAAAGTTGCTCATCACTAGAACTGAATCAATATGAGGAGCCTCTACATTGACATCCATCACAAGAGCCCAAATAAGGAAGGCAATCCTTCCCAGCCATCCGTTGGGTCATCGAAATATAAAACCACCCTACTAGAACATGAAATCCGTCGAATCTCACCACTCAATCCGTGGCATTCCCGTCATAGCCAACATCACCGCTTTAGCACAATCGCCCAGAATGACACAATGTTGAGACAACCAGTCTATACCCGATATCACATCCAAAATCTAACATAACGAGCAACAAAAGATCCACTCGGGTCTCCAAACCCTGATAGTCACTAAACAGTGCCGATACACATGACCCACAACTACAACATAGCCTGAATATGAGAACTTCCCGTCTCCAAATCCATATGGCACATGAATCACCAAATCCGATCCCAATTCCACCGTCCGAATACATACCACACCTCCAATACCCAATCATTCCACGAGAGATACTCTAAAATTCTTCTGTGCCACCAAGCAAACTCGAATATCGGCAGTCGATCTAACAAGAAGTGTCGCAATACTCCCGAAGTACCATCAACTTAATCACATTGCCTTTTCTGAAACATATACCCTCGCCAAATCACTCCAATTAGCAATACCATTTCCTTAATTATCTAAAGATCATTTCCCTAATCATATGAAGCTTCCCACTACCTAAGAGTTTTATGACCTTCCTTTCAGAACTGAACTGTAACCTTACACATGCAATCTCAATCCTCGACAACGTACCGTATATACTATACCATCCTAGGATAACATGAGAACTTCATATCCCTTTTGAGCCACAAGCAATTATGTACTGCACCAACCAAGAACTTTCCATTGAGCCCATCTGGAAGAAAATCACTATACATCCTATACTCCTCACGCTCGTGGAAAATATATACCTCTATCGGTGGTAGAAATCATCAAAACTCCCCGACTCCCATTTGCACAAAACCCAACCTGTCAGGACTAAATCCTTCTAACTCAACCAAGCTACGCATGCCACTAAACCCAAGAGCATTGCTGCAAACACCTGTAGAAACTCATTACCTCGTAAGCACCCAAGGAACTAATCATATCCTTACCATACCGATCTGGCCTACTACCAAACTATCTCATCTATCCAGGTTCCTTCTAATTTACCTTCAACTTGATGCTTCTTTTTGCTATAACACTACAATCCTAGACCCAGACTCGCCACACGAGACCCAAGCATAAAGCCACACCGTCTAAGGTTCATAACCTGCTGAATACTCTCTTAAATATCCTCAACAACACCACATTCGAAATACTTTACTCTAAAGAGACTTCCTGTGCATCTAAATTCGTGGCCTTCACCTTTCTGATGCTGATGTATATAGAATTCCCTAATTTATATCAAAATACACAAGCCTTGACACCTTCCAAATGCAAACCTCAGTTTCTATCCAAATGTACAACTTGAAAATCCCCCAGTCGTTGCATGTAAAATCTTGAACACATTAGAAATATTCTCTAGAGTCATCCACTCTACTTAAACTGCAATTAGCCTGATCCAATGAACCGAACAACCTGTGCCTTATTTGCATTCTGACACCGCAGAATGTAACCTCACCTTAATGCAACCAAGCCATTTTCTTTTCTATGCATCGAGCATTCTTTATCAATAAAAACTCAAGACATTCCATGATTCTCACACACCTATGAAGCATGATATAACCTTAACTTATTCAAAAATTTTCCTTTACTCGAGCCATCCTCGGTTTCAATCTCCGTAAGCTATAACTGATTTACCCGTACACCTCAACTGGAACCACGTAGCACATAACCGTGCAGTTAACTAATCAATAGCACACTCCCCCACTTGGCTCGAAGCCAAAGATCAAAACACACATAATAATTCATAATGCTTATACTCTATTATTGCCATAATACCAGTGAGATTAAACTCAACCCTTCATAAGTTTATGAAACACCGACCATCTAGTACTTTAAATCTTCTGACAATCTCGCATTCACTCTCGCAACAGTTAAACCCACTCTCTTAAGCGACCAAAATTTAAGTTGCAACACATACCTTTCACTTGTAAATGAGATCTTCTATCAGACAACATAATGGTTACACAACTTCAGAACACTCCGTATGAGATAACCCACCTGCTTTGCCTCAAACTAGCATTTCTGTATACCTTCCACCGTCATAAACTTTACGCAGTCACTTAATCTTCCTAAGTCTAAACTTATACCGCAACATGAAATTTACTTCATCCCAGCTAGGAAACATGAAAAGATTCTTCACACCCCCATAACTCGGGGCTATACCTCAAATCAGGATGGAAATCAAACACCTGATAGTTCTTTTATCCTCTAGCAGACCCTTCTTGTCGCTTCCAAATCATATAAATACATCTCGTAGTCATAACATACTCATCACATAACTATCCAGTCATTACTTCCCTCAATAGGGGCACAACAACATATATAGATCCAGAAACACGCGCTCACACACTCAATAGCTCAAGGCTCAAGCTATAGGCAAAAATCCGATCTCGAGTCCTCCAGACTGGCCTAACATCAACACAAAGAGATCATATCTCGCCCCTCGATCAGGGAATCACAAGCCATCGATGTACATCTAGTACTAAGCGCTCATGCGCGCATACGAACACGTGGAAGGATTTCAAAGAGTTACATTTCAAGCTGAATCAAGGACGCACGATAAGAATTCAAGAATGTAAAGTTTTCCTAAAGGTTCTGCAGCCTCTAGAGGATAAATACAGATGTCTCCGTACTGATCCACGAGACTCTACTAAACCTGCTCATGACTTGTGAGACCTATGTAAACTTGGCTCTAGTACCAACTTGTCACGAACCTAAACCCGAACCCGGTCGTGATGGCGCCTCTCGTGAAGACAAGGCCAGCCGACACAACACCCAATTCTTTTTAAGCAATTAAAATAATAACTACATTGGGGTGTCACCAGTCATGAGCATCTAAAACAATACTACAAATCTGAAAGTCTACTCCACTACTAAATAACTGAATCAGAAAGGAAATAAGATAGAGGGAGGTTGCACTGGGCTGCGAATCTCCAAGCAGCTACCTAGTAAACCTCCGAAGATCTGCTGGAACTATCCACCCTCAGTAGTAGTACCTGTAGTGCCCGAATTTGCATACAGAGGTGCTGGGAGTAAAGTGAGTACTTCAAACTCAGTGAGTAATAAGAATAAATAAAGACTGAACGATATAAAATCACGTTAAACACAACATTTAGCTATCAGAGGCATAACAAAATTAGTAAAACAATTTAACCATGAAATCTCATAAAACATTTTTTAAGCAGTCAACAATAGATAGGAAAAACAACTAGGAATGGTAAACACATAAGAACTGCCCCTTGAGCACAATAACATCAAATCAACCCCTCGGGCAATATCACAGAACAATACCAGCCCCTCAGGCTATATCTCATGTCACAATGGGTACCCGCGCTCACTAGGGGTGTGCAGACTCCTGGAGGGGCCCCTTACGGCCCAAGCACAATATCAAGCCATCTCGTGGCATCATAAACAAGCTCTTGGCCTCATATCAACATCAAGCCACCTCGTGGCGTACAATCTCAAGCCCTCGACCTCATTATCATAATCAGTATATCACTGCTGTGGCATGCAGCCCGAACCAAAAGTATCCTCACAATACAGGCCCTCGGCCTTACTCAGTCAGAATCTCATAAGCCCCTCGGGCATCAGTAAAATATGAAGCTCAACTCAAAATATCTTTAAAATATCATTTAAGGTGTTTAAAACCGATTAACATAGCTGAGTTTTGAAAACAGCAAAATATGGCATGACTGAGCATAAGTATAAAATCAAACAGTGAGGAAAATATCATTAACAATCCCTTAAGGGTTCAAACAGTTGGCACGAACCCCAAATATGACATTTAGCCCAAAGTATAATAATATCAAATAATTAGCTACCAAATATACATAAAAATAGTCATTCGGGATGGACTAAGTCGCAATCCCCAACGGTGCACGACCCCACACTCGTTATCTAGCGTGTGTGTCACCTTAACACAGCCGAACGTTGTGTAATCCGGGGTTTCATACCCTCAGAACAACATTTAAAATCATTACTCACCTCGAACTAGCCCGAAAAGCTACTCTGCAATATGCTTGCCTCTCGAACCAATTTCCGAGTGCTCCAAATCTACCAAGTTTAGATTTTTATCATCAAATTATGCTAAACGAATGAATTCCAATTGAAAAATATCGATTTTAAGCACAAAACCCGAAATCAGTCAAAACCTGACCCCCAGGATTGCATACCGGAACTGACAAAACTTTATACAAAAATGTTCTTCATCATCTCACGAGTCCGTACATATAAAGAACTCAAAAATCGGAGTTCGTTTGACCCCTCAAATCATCCCTAGAAGGTCTCATAATCTCAAACCTTAACTCCACCATTTTCTACTGATTTTCATGAATTAAACACTGATATTTTATTCCTTAATCACAAATAATCGAGTTTTAGGGTCCAAATTCCTTATCTCAATGAAGAACAATGATTTCCTCTCTTCAAAATCGCCTCAAAGCTCTTTTCCCGTTCAAAAATGGTGTAAAAGGGTTTAATAGTCGCAGAGGGTTTATTTAAGGCCAAATACATACACAGACCCCTGAACATTGCCCGAAATTTCATTTTGACACCTTATCTCCAGCATGTTCCTATTAGGCACCTTATGTATGCTCAAACTGTGTCATTTAAACTCGCATTGCTGATGTGGCATGATGCGTGTTTTACCCATATTTTTAGCGCGTGAAATGGTTTGCTAAGTTACTCTTTTGCCTAAACTTGGATTCTTTTCATGATGATGTGGCATGATGTGCTCGCTACACATTGAAGTCCGGCAAATATTTTGACAACTTCCATCACCTTCCTCTCTTCCACTTCATGTTTCCACCAATAATTTCCTAACAAATTTCCATATATTTTCTCATAAATATATTTTTCTATAATTTCTCATAAAAAAGATCACCTTCATTATACTTCATCTTCCCAGATTCATTGCTGGAAAATCTTCATTAATCTTTTTATACAGTAATGTTCATTAAATAACGAAAAAGGTGCAATAATATCCTTGAATTATTGGATATAGCTCAATTTTGTCCTCCGTTAACAAACTGGGTCATTAATATCCCTCACGTTAGCAAACTGGACCAATAATGCCTTCATTTTAGTGACAGTCCACATAAGCCTTCTCAAAGGCATTAATTAGCTGACATGGCATCCACGTGGCTTCCACATAAGCGGATCTCTCTTAAGCCTGCTCCAATAACCCATTAGCCCATAAAACAAATACCCAGTTATCAATCAAATATTATTGGACATTTTTCAATTGTTAAATGAGTTTCTAAATTCAGCACAATATTCTCCCTATTTTCTTTTTCGCACCTAGTCTTTACCTTACCTTGAAAGTTTTCATGAACAGTGAGCTTTGGCTTCTTTTTTGATGGTCTCTTTTCTTGTTCCTCTTCTTCTGAAGATGATGATACTGTAGCATTTGGGTCTGAAATTTTTGTTCTTATTTTTCTCTGGATTTTGATTGATTATTCTTCTTTTTGTTGTTGTTTTTCATTCTTTTTTTCTGCAATTTTGATTTGCGATTTCATGATCAGGCTTATTTGTTATGTTTGATCTTATATTTCATGATGGGAAAATGGGAAAAGGTCCAGTAATATTTGATTGATAACTGAGTATTTGTTTTATGGGCTAATGAGTTATTGGAGCAGGCTTAAGTGAGATCCACTTATGTGGATGCCACATCAGCTAATTAATGCCTTTGAGAAGGTTTATGTGGACTGCCGTTAAAATGAAGGCATTATTGGTCCAGTTTGCTAACATGAGGGATATTAATGGCCCAATTTGCTAACGGAGGACAAAATTGAGCTATATCCAATAGTTTAAGGATATTATTGGACATTTTCCGATTAAATAATGATGTGATAATTTCGTGTCATAAAGTAAAACTGTACTCTAAATATTTTCAAGAACCAAAATCAGAAGCATGAATAAAGTTTGGAATTTCAAGATTGAGTGTAAATGCTTTTGGAGAACTAAACAATCTAATGTAAATATAGATTTTAAAAAAAACTAACTCGTACATTTAACAAATCGTTCTCAAAATCTAGTCTTAACATTCATTATTTTCTTTATTTCTCCAAAACTAGTTTTTCAAAGACTGAACTAAAACCAAACCCAAGTGCAACATATTCCCTTTTTGTTTAAATTTTCTCCTGAAGTTTAAATACTCATCGCCCTGGACAATCCAGCAGTCTTTAAGGCAAAATAGATGTGTACACGGGGGAGTGGGAGAAGCTGGTCTGGAAATGGTGAGGGGTTCTATGGAGGAGAGGGATTCCGGGAAGAAATGACATAATGGCAACAAAAGGGTCGTGGGGTTCATGGGCTGTTTCAAAATAGTGTTCTTTTTAGCTCAGAAATTTTACTCAAAGCCACTTGGCTTGTTTTCATTTGACCTTTTTGCCACATCACGCACGTATAGTTCACGCATCCAATATTTTTTGTTGGCAAGTCAAGAGGGGTTTAAATGACACAGTTTAAGAGTACATGAGGCGCCCAATTGGAACATGCTTGAGATAAGGTGCAAAAATGAAATTTTGTGCCAAGTTTAAGGGTCTTTGTATGTATTTGGCCTTTATTTAAATACTGTTTACGCGTTTTACTATTCACCTGAATATTGTTCACCCGAGTTACTGTTCACCCGAGTTACTGTTCATGCTATTGTGAAAAAATACAACAACTTTTCTTCTAGTCTAAATTGATCCGTTAACCTTTCGAGATCCACCCGAGGCCCTCGGAAATCTCAACAAATATACCAATACATCCCATAACATCATTCGAACTTATTCGAGCCTTCGAAACGCCAAAAACAACATCAAAACACCAAAATCATATCAAATTCAAGTCTATGAACTTTGAAATTCCTAAATTCCACCAACGACGCCAAAACTATCCAAAACAGCCCCGATTGACCTGAAATTTTGCAGACATATCCAAAATGACATTATGAACCTGTTGCAACTATCGGAACTCCATTCCGACCCCGATATCCTATTTTTCACTGCCGACTGGAAACCGCCAAAAACTAACTTTCGCCAATTCAAGCCTAATTCTACACCGGACATCACAAAAATATTCCGGATACACTCCTAAGTCCCAAAACACCTAACAAAGCTATCCGGGCCATAAAATTGACATTCCAAGGTCATTTACCAATAAGTCAACTCTCGGTTGACTTTTCTAACTCTAAAGCTGCTTTTAGAGACTAAGTGTCTCAAACCTTACCAAAACCATTCCGGATTCGATCCGACCAACCCGATACCACATAACACGGATAAATAAAGCATAAAGAAGCAGAAATGGGGAAAAATGGAGCGGTAACTCATGAGATGACTGGCTGAGTCGTCACATTATCCCAAGGGGATATGGCATTTTTCCAATTTAAATAACATAAATCGAAATGAGATTTTTTATTTAATTTCAGAGTCTCCACTTGGAATTATTGTTATAGTGTCCTAAGTCACAAGTTTATTTTAAGTCCCAAATCGAGGAAATTTGACTATGTTTTGAAGTTCGCGAAACCAGAAGACTGGGTAAGGAATTCTGTTAGCCTGAGAGAAGGTGTGAGGTACTCCCAAGTTCCGTGGTTTTAGCACGGTCACTCAACTATTAATAACTGGCCTAATTATCTAATTTATTTCATGTTTTAAACCTATTATGATTTTTACCTTCCAACTGCTTTTAATTAATCAATTAACCATTTTAGTATTTATGGAATTTATTTAAATAACTCGCGATATCGCGCGCTTATTATTTTTGTACATATTATGAATCGCGTCACGTGAAACGCACCTGCGATTTACAACATGTTTATTTTATTATTTATTGATTTGAAGTTATGGTCGAGTCACTGAAACACACACTCGAATTGGGGATTATGTATCATGACTATGCCACGGGAACCGTACCCATAGTCACGATAATTTATTAACCGCGCTTAAAACAAACTACGAATATTAATACTTTGTCGTTAATTTGGGATCAACTGTGAGCCATGACTTATGGATATGTAATGATTGGAGATCACACTATGATTTAGCTATTTGTAATTGTTTTGGCGAAACAAATTACTATTAAGGAACAAAGGTCGACTAACTTGTTTCAAGCCAAATCAATCAGCCAATATATTTTTTAGTTGTCAAACAAACTCCACGTCACATTAATTAGTATCCATATGTACCTTATTAAGCATGCTTAACCAGGAGACTAATACAATGAAAGAATAAATAAACCAAAAAAAAAACAATATCACTAAATGATCAATTTCTCCTTATTTATGAGCTCAAACACTTGCAACCCCACTTAAAGGTTTCCCTGCTTTGGCCTATCACAACAATTTGGCTATTTGAAAATCTTAAATAAACTTCAACTCAGGAAAGGACCAATTATCAATCAAGAGCGAAATTAAGAACAAACACATTCAAGGCATGAAAAACTTTAACAAAACAAGACATGAGATATAATCACAATTGAAATATTAGACAAGAAAAAGAGTGGACCTTTGTATTGATAGATCTAAACTCGAATTACAGCAGCTTGTCGATTTTAACCGAAATATTTGCCGGTAACTTCAATCGGAACCCATGATTAGAGCTCGACTGAACCCCGTTCAACATGATGAAACAGAATCGAGACTTTGCTGCATTTACGGAACTCTTTTAGGGCGCTGTTTAGGTTGGAATTTGGACTGTGTTGAAGCTATTCTTCAGCTGCATTTTTGTCGATTTTAGAGCTGATTTTCGGAGGTCTTTTAGCTAGATTTGATGCTATTTTTTAGCAGCTTTTGAAGTCATTCTTGGCTGATTTTTGGGAGTTGTTTCAGGTGGGTTTTGGAGCTGAAATGAGGGAGAAAAGTGGAGTTGTGGTGCTGGAACTAGAAGCGTTTTTGGGGGCTGCTTTTCGCTGATTTTTGTGGGAGTTTAATAGATTTTGTAGCTAAAGTTTGAGGTATTTTGGTGTTGGAGTTTGAGGCAGCTTCCATGGAGAAAAGCTATTGGATTTCAGTTGAGTAAGAAGGCTCCTTTAATGGTGGAAAATAGTATTTTTGTTGCTGGAAAACAAAGAAGATTTCTGCTTTCTCTCCAGTTGATGCGCCTCTTGCTCTTAGGAGATTAAAAGTGGCCGCTGGTCTAGTTTTTGGATAGAAAGAGATGGTTCCCGTTTTTAAGGGATTCTGCCATTTTCTTTTAGGAATTAGGTTAAGTCCTTTTAGAATGAGGAGGAGGAGTTAGGTTAAAGGGGGTTATGGGCTATCCAAAATTGGGCCTTTCCAATCCAAAATCTTAATCTTTCTTCTACAAATAATGTAAAATCTATACTTTAGAATGCAAAACTAACTCTAATTTATTAAAATAAATAATATTATATTGTGAAAATATTTTTTTAGTATTTTCAAGGATCATACTAAAATAAAAATGGGTTAAAAATATTATCTTTCTAAAACTACCTAATACCTGAATTAAACAGAAAAAATAAAACTATTTTTGAGTTTTCAATTTTATATTTTAAAACTAAAATTGAAGATAAAAATATCTATAAACTCAAATAAACATTAAAAATACTACGAATATAATCATTAAAAATCGCACTGGTCAAAAATTACGTGTTATAGCTGCCCCTCTTTGGTTGGAAACTCAAAGAGTTTTTGAGCAAAGAAATAAGTAAGCGACGTAATTGATTTCTTACCCAATACTTGTTCAAAAGAAATTAAAAATGGGTAAAAAGATTGTGACCAAGCCTTGGTATCTGAGCTGCCTGTATATCTTTGGCTATAAAGGCCACGTGTAGTTCAAAGAGATCAATGGAATGATGAGTTCAAGAGTCGAGTGAGGTTCCATCGAGGCTCCGGTCCGCGGTCTCGTTACTACATCAAAATCTAAATCTAAAAGAACTAAACAAGCCTATCAACTATGAGTTACAAGATTGCTATCTATAAGTCTTTTTAAGTCTTCAAAGGTTCTTCATGCAGACTTTTAATTTAAACCTTGATGCCTACTAGCTGCAGGTGCTAGTTCATTCTTCTACGGCTTCTTCTGATGAAAACGTGGACTGCAGTGCTCGTGACTTCAACCATATCTTGAGCAGTCCACATCTTTTCTCCGCTTCTGCACTTTGGATTCACTTCTTTCATTTTATTTTCTTTATTTTGGATTGAGACTTCTTTTGGTCATCTTGAAACCTGTGCCTCGAGGTATAAACCTGCTCAGACACCAAAACATACGAACGAACGACATTCTTCTACCCCAGTTTTCACTAGAAAAATTTCGTGAGTTATTTGTAACAAAACTCTATACTACTTCATTATTGAAAGCAATAAAAGATCGGGATTGATGTACCCTAGGAAAACATAATTCATTGGGATAGTGTATCCTTCATTTAAGATCAACTCGATTAGGGAGTGGAGACCCTATGTCGGAAAAGAGACTAGGGAGTGGAGACCCTATGTCAAAAATAAACTAAACTAGGGATTGTAGACCCCATGTTGGAAAGGCGACTAGGGAGTGGAGACCCTATGTCAAAAATAAACTAAACTAGGGATTGTAGACCCCATGTTGGAAAGGCGACTAGGGAGTGGAGACCATATGTCTAAAACAAAATCAACTAGGGGTTGGAGATCCTATATTGGAAAGGCGGCTAGGGAGTGGAGACCCTATGTCTAAAATAAAGTCAATTAGGGATTGGAGACTCTATGTTGGAAAGGCGACTAAGGAGTGAATACCCTATGTCTAAAATAAACTCAACTAGGGATTGGAGACCATATGTTGGAAAAAGCGAATAAGAAGTGGAAACCTTATGTCTAAAATAAAGTCAACTAGGGAATGTAGACCCTCTATTGGAAAATCGACTAGGGAGTGGAGACCCTATGTCTAAAATAAAGTCAATTAGGGATTGGAGACTCTATGTTGGAAAGGCGACTAAGGAGTGAATACCCTATGTCTAAAATAAAGTCAACTAGGGATTGGAGACCATATGTTGGAAAAAGCGAATAAGAAGTGGAAACCTTATGTCTAAAATAAAGTCAACTAGGGAATGTAGACCCTCTATTGGAAAATCGACTAGGGAGTGGAGACCCTATGTCAAAAGTAAAGTCAACTAGGGAATGGAGACCCTATGTTAGAAAGGAGACTAGGGAGTGGAGACCCTATGTCTAAAATAAAATCAACTAGGGATTGGAGACCCTATATTGGAAAAGCGACTACGGAGTGGAGACCCTATGTCTAAAATAAACTTCAACTAGGGCGTGGAGACCCTATATTGGAAAAGCGACTAGGGAGTGGAGACCCTATATCTAAAATAATTTTAACTAGGAAATGGAGGCCCTATGTTGGAAAATGAGACTAGGGAGTGGAGACCCTATGTCTAAAACGAACCAAGAAGGATTTTTGTTTTTTTATTGAGAAAAAAATCATTTTTTTTTGAGAAAATCATTCTTTTAAACAAATTGCCCCGATGCTTATTTTCCGAGGGAATGAACAAATGACCCCTTTTTTAAATTCGGGCTTTTTTTAGTTATCCAAGGAGAAAATTCATCAGACTAGGTTTTCTTATCTTAGGAAAAAAATCATCTAACTAAGACTTCGATCTTAGGAGAAAATTCATCAGACTAGGTGTTTCTTTTTGTTATCTTAGGAGAAAGATTCATCAGACTAAGATTTCTATCCTAGGAGAAAGATTCATCAGACTAGGTTTTCTTATCTTAGGAGAAAAAGTCATCAGACTAAAACTTCGATCCTAGGAGAAAATTCATCAGACTAGGTTTTTTTTGTTATCTTAGGAGAAAGATTCATCAAACTAAGATTTCTATCCAAGGAGAAAGACTCATCGAACTAGGTTCTCTTGTCTTAGGAGAAAGATTCATCAGACTAAGATTTCTATCCTAGGAGAAAGATTCATCAAACTAAGATTTCATATCTTAGGAGAAAGATTCATCAGACTAAGATTTCTATCCTAGGAGAATATCAGACTAGGTTTTCTTATCTTAGAAAAAAGATTCATCAGACTAAGACTTCGATCTTAGGAGAAAGATTCATCAGACTAGGTTTTCTTATCTTAGGAGAAAGATTCATCAGACTAAGACGTCTATTAGGAGGAAAATCCATCAGACTAGGATGTATTACCCTAGGAGGAAAATGTGAGGAACAATGAGAAGATTTTATGCACACTAGCAAAACAAATAAAAGCAAAGATTTGAGAAACTTCCCTTTGTCAACTCTTCTCTTCTCTTCTTTTTCTTTTTTTTAGAACCACTTTCCTTGTATTGCTTTGTTCCTGTTTCAAACAAAGAAAACTTGTCAGTTTTGAAACTGGTGATCGGTTTGTGGCCTTGAGTCTTGGGCAGCTTGGCTTTGTGATCATCCAGCCTTTGGAAGACCGACTGTATTGGTAGTTGGTTGCACTGCTGGAAGACTCTATTGTTGCTTTTAAGGAACCTTTACTTTCTGTATCAACCCTGATTATTTCATTCCCAGTGCCATTTGTATTTGTGGCTCAATCAGCCTTATCCCAGCTAAAGATCTTTGCTTAGGTGACCTTTTCTGATATCTTGAATGACTTTTTGCTTTTTGAGCAATTTGTTTATCAAAGAGAGTCGCAACTGGGTATGTGCCTTTTGCATGATGTGCACACTTCATACTCTCTGTTCATTACTACAGAGGATACATGATTAACCTTGAGGTTATCTTTGCTTGCGCCAAGTAGGCTGACAAGAGTCTTTTGTGGGGGAGCCTTTGTATGAATCCTCAAGGCATGTTGACAATAACAACTGAGTGTGCTGACCAAATTTACTTGGTGCAACTGAAAAGCTAGTAGCAGATTTTGAAATGTTTTCTTGCTTGTTTTGACAAGGATGAACTCAGAGCAAAGGACATAATGATGCGAAGAAAAAATATTAACAGGAAATGCCCCTATCGGGAAGGAAAGAAGGAAGATATTTTTTTAGGGCAGCTAGCATTAATGAACATGACATGCATTTTAGACTTAGCGACCTTATCTTTCAAATCAATCTAACCTTAACTCTTGTCATTCCTTCGAGCTTTCAAACTGAGCATATATGTGCCAAATATTTGTACCAGATTCACGACTCATCTTCAACTAGTGGTGCCCCGAGGGATTTTCATCTATAAGTCACTCTTATTTATTTATATCTACTTACCATCGCCTTATAGTGCTCGTGAGGGTTTTCACTAGTAAAACTCATGCCACGCCCCCTTTTTCTTGCAAAATCGGGTTTCGACATTTCTGGGACAACTCCTTTTGAAAGGGTAGGGAATTGGAATTAAAAGAGTCACCACCTAACAGATTAAGGTGCGTTAGGTCACCTAGAGCAGAGAACTCATGTTACCAATTTACATCACCAGAGATCGAGTAAGGGCTCGAAAGTACCTTGAGGGGAAGGTTTTAGACACCCTTCGAGGTCCACAAAGGTGGGTATCGACCGAACTTAACTTATGAATTAGTCTAATATAGAAGCAAGATAAAGATTTAATAGGGATGGGGTCCTAAATGTTTTAGCCTAAAGGATCACCCCGTGCAACATAAATAATACTTCGTAACTCCCTCAAGTTGGGGTGTTACTCATATTATTCAACGGGCATAGACTATCATCTCCTGCTACCGGATTACTATCTTTAAGTTGTTACCTAAAGCGCTCTAATTGATTCTAGTCCGATTCCTATGCGTTCACTATTCGTCCCTTACCTATGGACTTGGAGGTATTAGGAACTCTATTTGGGATAGTTCTAGACTAAACTAGGTTTCTCAAAAATGTAAAAGGACTAGGCGACAAACAAAACATGTTAGGACTTGCAAGTATAAAGAAAATATGGGCTCATGTTGACCTCCGCACATAAACAACAAATGCACACAATTAGTTAGCAGGTTTTGTTAATCTGCAGAATCCTATAGACATGATATCTATGTGAGAAAATAGGCGAGCAGTGTTATATAGAAGTAGCTTCATTAAGGCGGGTACTAGGACCTACTATTTGCCTACTGAATTTAATGAATATCATATGGGCACTTCAAACCATAATGAATCACATTTACAGATCTAAAATTGTTATTAAGTCCTATAGGCATATTGTCTAAGTGATGACAGAACAAATTGATAGAATCCTATAGGCATGCTTCTAATATCAAACTGATTTAAATCCTATAGGCATGCTTCTAATATCAAACTGATTTAAATCCTATAGGCATGATATCTAGGATTTG